GTGAGGGGCATTATATAAATGCAAGTTGTTGTTGAATGAATGAGGAACAATAATAGTACTAAGAGATTTACAGCATGCTCAAATTGAGATTGAGTCCAGACTGACGCTCCAAGGCAGTGGTGGGGGAGGGCTGCATTGTTGGAGATGCTGTAATTCAGGTGAGATATTGAACTGAGGCCCCCTCTGCCTGTCCAGGTGGGTGTTAAAAGTTCCACAGCACTGTTTGAAAAGATAAGGCAGTTTCCCTCTCCCACTGTCCTGGCCAATAATCCGGCAAATAAAATGGCCTTGCGCAAATTGGCTGCTGCTTTTGTCTGCAAACACTACACTTTACAGCATCTCAAACAACGTGATAAGGAGCTATATCAAAATGCTAAATTTATTATTGAGCGTTTGTGGAACTTTAATAGGAACACAGGAATTGCTAGACAAAAAAGTCTGTTCTGGCAGTCACATGCTATAATATTGGAGATGTTGACTGCAATTAATTCTGTATGGATTACTCTACACCAGAGTGGAAAGCTTTGGGAACCTTAGATCTAAGATTCCAAAGAATTACACTTACTATTTGTCATGTGTCAAATTACTCATATACTGTAGCTGAAAATAATATTTTTTAAAAGAAATCTGCATTCGAATGAATGTTGTTTGGTTTGAATACTATTAAGCCTGGTGGTAAGTTCCTGGGTATCTTGACCAAAAGAAAGTGGCTGAAGATAAATAAGCAAAAAGAGAACTGTCCATAACCATCCGCACATGTACAATACCAAAATCTAATTAGAGGAGGATTCATACAGAGAGTTTAAGCAGCAGAGGATGGGCTCTTACTTTAGTACATATCTGGTAACATAATAATAATAATAATAATCCTTGCATTTGATATAGCGCTTTTCACGTCGGGAGGACGTCCCAAAGCGCTTCACAGAACACACTGTAAAGTGAATTGACTGTATATTTGTGGGCGAACGCGGCAGCCAATTGCGCACAGCAATGTCCCACAAACAGTCGTAGATTGAAAATGACCAATTTATCATTGTTTTTGGTTTTGAAGGGATTATTATTAGGCTCTGTGTGGAGTAAGGAAACTTGCCCAAGGTTTCGCCCTCTGCCTGGAATTGAACTCAAGTCTCTCGCTTGCAAAGCGAGTGCTCTAACCACTGAGCTACAGGACTCCACAACATGCAGGTAAAGCTCCTTCTACTTGCCTATCAACCACTTCCAGGTTGGTTATAGTGAAGATTAATAACAATCCTTGCATTTGCTATAGCGCCTTGCATTTTGGCAGGATATCTCAAAGCATTTCACATGATATTCCTGTAAAATGCAATGACTTTGTATTTGTCGTTAAATCCAGCAACCAATTTGTACACAGCAGTGTCCCACAAACAGCCAGGTCCAATTGTATCTGGGGATGGTTGACCAGGACACCAGGAGAGGGAAACTCTCTTCTCTTTTCGAATAGTGTCCCAGGATCTTTAATCTGGCTGACGGGACCTCGGTTTAATGTTGCACCTGAAGCATGACAAAATAGCTCTCTCCCCAGCCCTGATTCAAATGTCAGTTTAGATTGCATTAGTTCAAAGATTCAACATGGGACTTGAACCCACAACTTTGTGGCTCAGAAGATAATGTTACCAACTAAGCCGGGATGACACACAAACTGAATGGACAACATCATGTCAACAATGTGTTTAACCACAAGCTCAGAAGAAAACCTGTTGAAGAACCAGTAATGATAACTTGCTCTTATATAAATGCCTTTGCTGTAATTAAATGTCTCAACACTCACTTCCATCTCCAGCAAAAGCCATGGTTGTGGCCTCCCAGAGTGAGAGTGTTAATTTAGCTCCAATTAGTATTGACTGAGAGCCATTGTGAGATGTAGACCTTTACTCATTTGGCCCTGGATTAATGGGGTCTGATCTCCTCGCGTGCTGGGCTCTCAGAGCCAACAGAAAAAGGAGACTTTTATCCTACCAGCTCAGACCGGACTCAAACCAGGTCTGAAATGTGAAAGGGCACTGTTCTGACATTTCTCTAACCTTTATATCGCTAAGCCTCTCTCATGTTGTCTTTGTAGTAAATTATAAATGGCGAGTTCTGATGGCATAATTGAATGAACAGTCTGGCTGGGAGGCTCGGTGTTGTGAGGGACTGTAACTTACAAGCAGTTGAACTGAAATGATAAGGTTATTGAAGCACCCGGGGTTAGCGACTGACGTCATCTCACCCCCTCTCGTAATGCTGGGCTCAGTCTCTCCACCAGCCATTGATCCCATTGTTAATACACGCTCATTATTTAAACATAAATTCAAAAATAACATGAGGAATAGAATGCACAAAAGAGATGGAGAATCATGTGCTGCTTCAATACCCTGTGCTTTAAATTTATTTGTGCCTGTTCATAGCTACAGGGGGAATTCTTAGCTCCGAGATGCCATCCAGCGTGAAGGGCCCTATACAAATGCGAGTTGCTGTTACTGCTGTTGTTTATCATCTTTGTCCTGCTGTTTGGGAAGATATCCAATAGAGCTTGACCGTTTCTGATAATAATATTCCTTGCATTTCCATGCATGTCAAGAGGACCTCTCAAAGTGCTTCACAGGATTTACTGTAAAGTGCAGTGGCTGTGTATTTTATAATTAGCTCACATAGTCTAAGCTAACACTGCAATGCAGCGCTGGGGAGTGTTGTGTTCTCAGCAGTGCCACCCATCGAATGAGATGTTAAACCAAGGTCCCGACTGCCTGTTCAGGTGGATGTTAAACATCCTGTAGGATTACTCTCTCTCTCGCCTGGCCAATAAATCCCCCAAATAAAATTGGTCTCACTCCTTAGCACTCCTTAGCTGTTTGTGAGACACTTCTGCCACATTTCACCCACAAAATCCACTTTATAATATATCCTGTGAAATGCTTTGAGAAGTCTCGATAAGATATTAAATGTTAAATGTTAAAATTATTATTATTATTATTAAAAAATTATTATTATCTTCTTTTTCTTTTTATTTTATCTTCTTTTTGTTTGCACATTATTCCAGCCTCCTCAGACATTGGATATCCAAAATGTGGTGATAAAGACCTAGCAGCAGATGCCTCTTACTTCACAAATCGCAACCGTTGCTAACTGTTCCAAAAACAACATTGTTTTAATAAAATAAAGCCGTTCCCAAATCGCAATGACGAAGCAGAAAGACACATAAAAGAGGAGGTTTTATTGCTCGCATATAGAGCGGCCAACAAGCAGTTTGGAAATATAGTTTTTCTATGGGAAAGATTCCAAAAGAATCAAGAGATAATTAAGGAAAGAAAAATTCAAAACAATTTGAGGCACAACCACTATCAAGAGATTTCTGTGGTATCTGTGCCTGTGTGGATGTCAAGTAAAGACGAGATCAAGTTCCCAGAGGATAACTCATGGTGGAACAGCTTGTCATTAATTACTGCCGAAGATTACACATGAATAATGGCACCTTATTACTTAAGAATATCTCAAATCTCTTCATAGGATGTGTAGTATATGAAATGTAGTGTATGAAGCTCCACGTTGGGACTTTGAACTCCCAAATCCAGGCTGACAGTCCAATACAGTGCTGGGGATTTGCAGTACTGTTGAAAGTACATTGAGATGAGATGCTAAACTGAGGTCCCAGGTAGAAGTTAAAGTCCTAAGGCATCTCCCAAATAAAATCAGTCACTCAGTTCACAGCTGTTTTCAGGGTCATTGCTGTGCACAAATTAGTTATTGTGTATACTCACAAACACACAGTCACTGCACTTTATAATAAATGCTGTGAAATGTCCTCCTGACGTGAAAGGCGCTGTATCAAAGTAAGCACAGTTCTTATTATTTTATAGGCGAACCTGTCCAGGACACTGGGAGAGAGATATCCTGTTTTTGGATAGTGCCACAGGATCTGTAGTGTCCACCTGAACAGGCAAATGGGACCTCGGTTTAACGTCTCATTCAAACGACGGCACTCTGACAATGTTTGTAGGGCGCTACTGTGAGGAATTGGCTGCCGTGTTTTGCTCACAAAATACAGTCAATCGACTTTTCAATATTTTATGTGAAGCGGTTTGAGATGTCTCAAAGTCGCAATGAGGCACTATATCAAATGCAAGAATTATTATTTCAACAACTTGCAATATTAATATTAAACACCCCCCAGTGCCGCATTGGAGTAGCTTAGACTACGTGTGGTCAGAGACCATCCTCCATTCGGGGCTAAAACTGACCACCTTGTGACAGTGAGCAGATTATCCAGGAATTCAATTACATTTATAGCCCAAGGGCCACCAAACACTAGCGCCAAAGTAGCCCGGTATGATGCTCCTGCCCAATGGCCTCTTCATACACAGGTCAACACAAACCCGCCCGCGCGGCCAGCGTGAGGTCCTGTGGCTCAGTGGTCAGAGCGCTCGCCTCGGCAGCGAGAGACGTGGGCTTGATTCCCGGGCAGGGCGACATGCTGGGCAAATGTCCTTACTCCGCTCACCTCAGTTTCCCAGCGGTCAGTAAGAATCTGGTTGTTAGTCGATTGGCGGATCATTTTCTGGGAGTAATAATCCCTTCAAAACAATAATTTGGTCACTCAACCCACGGCTGTGTGTGGGACGCTGCTGTGCGCGATTGGCTGCCGTGTTTCGCCCACAAAACATACAGTCACTACATTTTACAGTGTATCCTGTGAAGCGCTTTGAGACGTCTTGAAGACGTGATGTCAAATGCCAGGATTATTATTATTATTATTATTATTCACGTCGCCCTAACCAAATTTGACGGCCGCGTCTGTCCCCCAACGCCTGCCCCAATCCAAGATGGCGTCGGCATCTCCATGGCGACGCCGCGATGTGAGGGCGGGACAGGCGGGGGGGGAGTGTGTGCAGCCTGCGATGGTGTCCGCCGGGAGCCGGCGCCGCAGCCTTTGGTTCCGGGTCCCGGCGGGCGGGCGGGCTGTTCACGTGATGGCGTGAAATTGCGTGCAGCAGTCTGCCATGTCCGTGCTGAAAGATGGCGGACGAGGATGGCGGCGGCGGCGGCGGTGGAGGCGGACGGCCGGATTCCGAAGCCGAGCAGCAGGAACAGCAAGAGTATGAAGAGCCGCAGTTGGGTCCCGCGGCGGCGGTGCCGGTGCTGCCGGTCGCTGTGAGCCTCGCCCGGGGCCCCAGGCTGGTCAAGATCATCAAGTCAGAGACCGGCTACGGCTTTAACGTGCGCGGGCAGGTGAGCGAGGGCGGCCAACTGCGGAGCATCAACGGGGAGCTGTACGCGCCGCTCCAGCACGTCAGCGCCGTGCTCCCGGGCGGCGCCGCCGAGAGGGCCGGGGTCAGGAAGGGAGACCGTATCCTGGAAGTGTGAGTACAACAACAACAACAAGATGTCATTTACAGAGCGCCTTTCACGTCGGGAGGACGTCCCAAAGCGCTGGACAGTTGGGGTAACCCCCACCGTGTCTCGGGGGGGGGGGGGTGATATTGGGGGGGATTGGTGGTGGGAAAGAGGAAAGGTTAATGGGGGGACAAGGTTGAGGGGGGAAAGGTCGGGGGGGGGGAAGATTGAGGGGGAAAGGTCGAGGCAAGGTTGACGGGGGGGGGGGGGAGATAAATAATAGAGGGGAGATGAGGAGCATTGTTTAGCCCAGAGAGTTGTCACGGTCTGGAATGCGCTGCCTGAAAAGGTGGGAACAGATTCAATACCAACTTTCAAAAGGGAATTGGAGAGGTACTTGTAGAGGAAAAATTTGCAGAGATACAGGAGCAGAGCGGGGGAGTGGGGCTGATTGGGCAGCTCTTCCCAACAGCCGGAACAGGCGCGATGGGCCGAATGGCCTTAATATATATTCTAAATGGCGGTGTAAATGAAGAGACTGAGCGTGAACCAACCAGAGGCTTCAGCAGCCGGAGTGACTGAGGGCACAGGCTGGTCTGGTCACTGCTGCCGTGTCTGGGTGGGTGTCACGCCCAATTTGGGCGGGTTGGTGTTACACATGTGTGTGTAAAAAAAGAGAGAAAGGTTTTGGCTAAGCACCTAATTTTATAAATATACTGTACAGTAATTTAATTTCAACCCCCAAAAAAGTGCTCCCCCCCCCCCACCATCTTTTCTTACACCTTTTCAAATTCACTGGCTCTGTTGCCTTATATAGGAGGCAACGCATAATGTTAGGCTACTTTTGGGCTTGTGTTGGTTGACCTTTGCATTATTGGATTTTAATTTTTGGCCACCAGCTACAGGTGAGCCTGATACACTCACCCCCACCCTGACCTTTATACCAACAAGGTGCATTTATACAGAGCCCCTCACTCAGGGCAGCGTCCCAGAGCGCTTGACAGTGGCGGAGCACGATGCTGAGCCGGGGGGAGGTGACCATGGGTAAAGTCAAAGAGAAACATCTTCACGCTTTTACACTTTATACCAAGGGGGTGTGAGATACCAGGAGGCTGTGGGCAAGCACACTCAGCAAAGGTGATGGATTTGGGGGGGTGGGGGAGAGAGGGGAGTGAGTAGGAGCTGAGATATGATGTTAAACCACGTTCCCAGAGACATTGGTCTGTTCAGATGGACTTTAAAGATCCTATGGCATCTCCCAAATAAAATTGGGGAGGCTGGGATTTGAGGTTAAAAGGAATTAAAGGGAAAGTTGACAGATCAGGACACAGGCTGGTCATCTGACATCCTGAGATCAACTCAACCTACTGGTGGCGAGGAGGGGTAAGAGAAGGGGAAGGAGGGGAAGAGAAGAGGGAGTAGGTGAGGAGAGGAGAGAGTGGAGGAAGGAAATGAAAAAGCGGGTAGAAGAAGGGGCAGGAGACGGTAGAGTCAGGGAGAGGAAAGGGGGCAGGGGAAGGAATAGGGTGCAGTTGTGGAGAGGAAGGGAAGATGTACGAGAGGAGAGGGGGTTTGTGAGCGTTTCCTTTGATCGAATCTGATCTCTGGGAGTTGGGGGTGAGCAGGAGCTGAGTAAAGAAAATCCCACCCTCTGCCTCCAGTCGAGAATTAGCATTGCTCGTTTCAGCCGTTCAGTGTTTTATGCAGCCGAGAATCGCTGAAAATCTCATATCATTGATCTCCCTCCCCTGTGTACATCATGGCTATTTATCACTTGGGTCTGATAAGATTTCAGGACGCGAGAGTTAAAATATAAGTTAATTTCTATGGAATAAACGTAGTTTTCTTTAAAATGTTTAGTGGTGGTTTCATGGCTTGTTATAATTAGCCACTCGTTACCTGTTTGTGTTGCCTAAAGAGATGGAAGCCTGCGTTTTTGACTCACGGGGGAAATCAAGGCAACATTTATTCAGACAAGATTTATTCCCTCCTGTTTTAAAATATTTCTATTGTGATCTGAATGGGAGTGAGGTGCTCTGGTATGTTGCTCTGCATATTGCTCCCCAAGCTGAGCTACAGTAAACTTGACTTAATCAGTTCACCTCAGTAAAGCAGAACCCTTCTCTGCTTCCATGCATTGTTGCCACCCGCTGGAAGGGCCTGTCCATCGTGTGTTAATGAGCTTGGGGCTTGCAAAGGAGAAATAAGGCACTTTTGTAACAAGAAATGAGCGCATTTTTGAATAGCTTGAGTCAGCAAATGTATTAGAATGAAGGGGTGGTGTGTCAGAAGGGACCATGTGATGGTGTGACTCCATCTCTTAATATTGTCATAAAATCTGCTAGTTAAAATTCATAGTAAAAGATAAGTCATTGAGGGGTTTGGATGACATTATAACCTAGGAGAGCTGGAGGATTAAATTTGATTTTAAGATCATTTGCAAGAATTTAATTTGCATTTCAGATTTATTAAATTATAGCAAAATTATGTTTGCCATTGTGGTTCCACCTTCCCCCCATCCCAGCATCAGAGTGCTCGGCAGTCATTTGCCTACTTTCTACAATATCACTTTCTACACCATATTTGTGCACCATATTTTATACTATATGTACAGGGTGACCAAAAAGTCATGAAACCATTACAATGCCTAATAAGTCTTAAAGAAATGTTTTTTTTTAGATAATAGGGTAGCTGTAAAATAAGATTTTTTGGTCACCTTTAGTATAAGGAAAATGAAATCCTAGCATATCAGAGCCCCTACTGTGTGACTGAGGTTGCCTCTAGGTTCTAAGAAGGATCTTCTTTCCTCCACCTCTGCACATCACCCACCTCTGACCACACCTCACGCCCACCACTGCTAAAACCTTCGTCCACACCTTCACCACCTCCTGCCTCGATTTCTCCAATGTCCCCCAGCTCCACCATTCACAAAGTCCATTTCAAAACTTATACTCAATACTCGTATTGTTACCTGCACCAAACTCTGTGCCTCTAATCGTGCCAGTCCTTGCTAGGCTGCATTGGCTCTCACAAAACAGATGGATTTCATTATCAAATCACTTCATGCCCTAGAACACACCTCCCTACTTCTCTAACCTGCTCACACCCACTCCTCTATCTGCCCACTTTCACTCAGCTGCATCGGGCTTCCTGCACGTCCCTCATCCCCTCCATTCCACAGTCGTTGGCTGTGCTTTCAGCCACTATGCCCCAAGATGCTGGAACTCTGCCTCAGTCCCCCTGCCTTGTTTCCTCTTTGCCAGTTTTCAAATCACACCTGAAGAACTTCCTCTCCGACCGTTCCTGTGGACACCTCCCCTCTCTCCCAGCTCAGTGTCAAACTACAGCATTGTTAAGTGATCTGAGACACTAGCCAGCGTGAAAGCCATTGTATAAAGTTAAGCTGTTGCTGCCATTGGTGAATGTTGAAATAGCCAGCGGTCAGGACTGTCACTGTCTGCAGCTGGCAATAACAACAACAAATTACATTTACACAGCATCTTTCAGGTTGGGAGGACGTCCCAAGGCGCGGGACAGTCAGCGATTTGGATCCTAGTGATTGGGCGGGGGACGTGAAGCAGCCAGAGCCTGCCGAACAGAGGGAGTGGGTGGGTTGGTAAGGATTTAGCAAGTCACAGGGGTAGGGTGGAACAAGAAAGTAGGATCAGGAGGGGTGGAGGGCAGGAGGGTAGCCCAAGGTGCGGTTGAAGAGGAGGGGCTTGAGACATGCCTTGAAGGAGGCAAGGAAGGGAGCGAGGTGAATGAAGGGATTGTGGGATGGAGTTCCAACAGTGTCAAAGGCAGCAGAGAGATCAAGGAGGATGATGAGAACAGAAGGAGCACTGATCACAGATGGACAAAATGTCGTTTGTTACTTTGACCACAAAAGTACAAAACATTGACCACAAAAGCCCAAAAAGAGATGGGCTGTGAATGTGTTAAACCTTAACTCTATTTAAAACAGATTTGGTACTAGCACAGAGGAGATGATTTGAAGTGTTTCAAAGGAACTCATTTTTTATGCGATTTTTAGAAAGCAATTTTCGCTCTTGCTCGCCACACACTCTGGGCTGAAAGGACAGAACCTGCTACTGCAGAGTGGCCAGGGGAATGACTTTTCTGATACTACTTCTGCCCCCTCTTGTCTTGTGGCTGTGAACCTGACCAGTGCTTCTCCACAACAGTAAGATAGTTGCTGTTGGGAATAGGATGTACATATGCTTTGAATTGTTTTGACAATGTGATGAGGTACTGATATCAAAAGCAAGTATTATTATTACAGGAAGGGAAGGTTTTGTTCTCTGTCTCTGTTTTGTGTAACTATTTTTGCTTAAGCACTTTCTGTGGGCTGTTGCTTTATAGGTCATTTTGGAGAAGTTCCTACAATAGGCAAGGGAGGGGGCGTGGTGATGGAGTTTCAGAGGGTGGTGGCCGAGAGACTGAAGGCCCAACCGCCGATGGTGGAGTGGGGGACATGGAACCTGCTGAGCAGAGGGAGTGGGTGGGTTGGTAAGGTTTTAGCAAGTCACAGGGGGAAGGTGGAACAAGAAATTGGAGTTTTTAAAATTTAAAACAAGGTTCTAGCTTGCTGTGTCAGATCATATTACAATCAAAGGTAATCACCTGGACCTCTGCCAGCGCTGCTCTGATTGGTTGCTCTGTGGACTGTGGTGCGTTAGGGTATCGCAAGATGCCCCTCTTGCCCCATCTCACCATCGTGGAGTCCTGTGGCTCAGTGGTTAGAGCACTCGCTTTGCAAGTGAGAGACCTGAGTTCAATTCCAGGCAGAGGGCGAAACCTTGGGCAAGTTTCCTTACTCCACACAGAGCCTAATAATAATCCCTCCAAAAACCCCAAACAGTAATAAATTGGTCATTTTCAATCCATGACTGTTTGTGGGACATTGCTGTGCGCAATTGGCTGCCGCGTTCGCCCACAATCGCCCACAAATATACAGTCAATTCACTTTACAGTATATTCTGTGAAGAGCTTTGGGATGTCGAGAAGACGTGAAAAGCACTATATC